AAACACTCGGAGGCTTTTTGTTTAATAGATAATTGATGTCTTTTTCATTCCTTTTCTCCACAGTCCAGATGGTAGAAATAAGATATAACATCTCCTGTATCCTTGACATATCTTTCTTCGTTGGCGGGAATATTTTTTCCACATTTATAACATGGCCTAATATACAGCTCCTTTCGCTTACTTCACATAATCTTTTAATTTCCAATATTTTTTTACATCGTTGGCATCAAATTCATTGTTTATCTCCCGAAATTCTTTAAATGGTTTCTTGGCTCTACCTTTGGCTAATTGTTCTCTTCACTGCTTACAGTCGGGATTAGGACAGTAAGATAATAAAAACCCTTTGCCACAATTAACACAGATTTTATTAGCCATACCTTTTATTAATAATTTTTACCAAATACCCACTAATCCTAATTATTTATGAACTACCACTTACTAGTTCTATTACTCATTCTGCTTTACTTACTGGCTCTGACCCCCGGGCAAAACTCTAATACCGAACCTAGTTTAGTCAGTAATTATTGCTTAAATACTAAACAGAGTGGGGAAGCACTGGAATTATTAAATAGTCTCAGTAAAGAGAGTACTAGTTTAGTCTTTTTGGATCCACAATATGAAAAAGTTTCTAATGTTTTATCGGTTAATTATCCACTCTTTTTCCAATCTGATTACCAAATATTAAGAATATTAGAACAAGTAGAACGGGTATTAAAACCTAGTGCTTTTTGTCTCTTGTGAGTAAATAAAACTTTGCTGGGAAATGACCGAGTTCCTTTGTGATTATTAAAAACTCCTACTTTAAAAATAGTTGATTTTTTAGTTTGACATAAAAAAAATACTCTGGGCTTAGGTTCTTATTTCCGCAGTAATGCCGAGTTTGCTTTTTTATTACAGAAATACCCGCAAAGCGGGAAATTATTTAAAAATAGAAGTTTTGGTAATGTGTGAGAGGAAAACCAATTAGCAGTTAGTAAGAGAGAACATCCCCATCAGAAACCCAAAGAACTAATAAAAGCGTTAATTATGGCTACTACTAATGAAGGAGATTTAGTAATAGACCCGTGTGCGGGGAGTTTTATTGTCTTAGATGCTTGCCAAGAACTAAATAGGGAATTTATTGGTTGTGATTTGACTTTTAAAGAAGTGCAAAAGTTTTTAGCCAGTAAAAAATTAAATACTCACTAATCTAAATATAAACATAAAACTATAATATAGACTAAAAAGGAAAAAAAGTTAGTTGCTGGTGAAGATGCTTAAACCTGGAATTAACAGGGTTGGAAGCAAAAAACTTCTGTTTATTTTTATAACTCAATTAAAATTCCTATATGAAAAGTAACTTGGATGAAAGCCAGAAAAATATTGACCCTGCTAAAATCCGCAATTTTTCCATCATTGCTCATATTGACCACGGCAAATCGACCCTAGCCGACCGCTTATTAGAAGTAACTAACTTAAAAAATAGCAATAAATCCTTTGAAAGAATACTCGATAGTCTTTCGCTTGAACAGGAGAAAGGTATCACTATTAAACTAAATGCGGTTCAACTTTATTATCCGCCGGAAAGTCCCACTCCTTATATTTTTAACCTGATTGACACTCCTGGACATGTCGATTTTATGTATGAAGTTTCCCGTTCTTTAGCTGCTTGTGAAGGGGTAATACTGCTGGTTGATGCGACCAAGGGTATTCAAGCCCAAACATTAGCTTATTATGAAATTGCCAAAAAACTTAATTTAAAAATCTTACCGGTTATTAATAAGATTGATTTGCCTTCTGCTCAATTAGATATGACTAAAAATCAGTTAATTGAATTACTAAATTGTCAAGAAAGTGATATAGTTTTAATTTCGGCTAAAAGTGGGAAAAATATTGATTTGCTACTGGAAAAAATAATTAGTGTTATTCCGCCCCCGCAACAAAAATAACTTATTATGAATAAGTGCTTCTGCCTTTCCTTTAAGATCAATGAATCAGTGTTAGATAAAGCCTATTTCATAGAGGTACGCAAATATTTGTGTTGCCATATAACCAAAGGTGGATTTGCAACTCCCTTTTAACTTCCCTTTCTTTTCTTGCTTGTTCCCGACGACAATTCGATTTTGGCTAATAGTATTTTCAATAATCCAGAAGGCAGCGATTTTTTTTCTATTCCTTTTTCAGACTTAAAGTTTCAACCGACTTGCCTCCGAAAAAACTCTTCTACCCTAGATGCCGCTCTTTATGTTAAAAATACTAATCAGGCCAAAAAAATAACCGAAAAGGAAATTGGTTCTTTTCAAACCCTTACTTTTAAAGTTATCAGTCAAAAGAAAATTGAAAGACCTGGTCCGGGAACTTATGACCATGAATTAAAAGTTGAGCCTTTTTCCTTGAGAATGGAGGGATTACCAGAAATTTCGCGAATTGTTTTTGAATTTGGCTACGGTCAATCTCTTGAAGGAACTCCGTGGTCATTAATGAAAACTATAATTATATAATAGCAAACTATTAACTGAAAGTGTCGGCAAAACTTTTACTATGAAAATTAATTTTTGAAATATAAGCGAGATTGATAATGATAGCGGCGGGGTTTTAAATTTTTCTAGTTCGAAAACTTTGAGGTGGATAGTTTGGTGGAAAAAACTGATGGGAATAAACCAGGTCCGAACCAAAATGGTAATAATTCGCTTTCTCAAAAAGAAAAAGGAGGACTTTCTAATGGTGCTACTAAACTAATCATAGCAATAGCAATTTTAACTATTTTTGGGTTAATTCTGGTTCTTTTCTGGCTAAAAAAGAAAGGAAAATCTAAAAAAAATGACATATAGACCACACCCTATATATAAAATTAACTATTATGGAGCAACTAGTAATAATTAAATCAGTTATGGAGCCAAAGGATTACAGCACTTTACGAGCACTATTAAAAAAACAACAAGGAGAGAGAATAACCCCCTACATTTTCAAGTTGAATAACACCCAACCAGTGGAAGATTATCTTGGTCAACAAAGAATAGACTATGAAGTTTACAATAAAAAAGAAAGAGAATTTCCGAGCGACCAACAATTAGCAACGGCCTACCAAGAAGCTTGAACTAACCCACAACGAATAACCGAATTTAAGCAATGGGAAAAGTTAGGGTTGACTAGTTGACGAGAAAGAGAAAAAAAATCAAAAAAATAATGGCTCAGTTAATTTATCAGCGGGGAGATATTCATTGAGTAGAATTTCCTATCCAGGAAAAAAAGAAAAAAGTTCATACCATTCAAGAAGAGCATCCAGCAGTCATTATTTCTAACGATAAGCAAAACCAGTTCAGTTCGGTGATAACTGTTCTGCCGATTACCTCGCAATTGGATAAAACTTATCCTTTTGAGGTTCTTATTAATTTAGACAAACTCAGTAAAATTCTCCTCGACCAAATTACTACTATTGACAAACAATATCTAAAAAAGAAAATTGCTTCGCTGACTGAGAAAGAAATGGCTATAGTAGAAAAGTTTTTACATCTCACTCTTGCTTTGCCCTGCTATCAAAAATAAAATAACAAATTAAATAATGAAAGAAGAATTATTAAAAGCCCTGATTTTTGATTTGCTTTATAGTCGTTATTATGGGGTAATTATTTATGCTCGTATTTTTGAAGGAAAATTAACGAAAGGACAAAAAATTAAGTTTCATACTAATCAACAAAAGATTTATCAGGTAGAAAGAGTTGGAGTAAAAGTTCCCAAAGAGATTTTAAAAGATAAATTAATTGCTGGAGAAATTGGTTGGTTTACCGCCAACATTCGTGACATGCGAGAAGTAAAAGTTGGTGATACTGTCCTTGACTTAAACAATAATGACTCGACTTTAGAAGGTTATCGAGAAGTAAAACCGAACGTTTATTCTAATTTATATCCCAGCGATAGTTCTCATTATAAGGAATTTAAAAAATTTTTGGAGGAATTACAGATTCAAGATAGTGGTTTAAGTTTAGAAACAATTGATTCACAATTACTTGGCCCCGGCTTTCGTTGTGGGTTTTTGGGTTTGTTACACCGAGAAGTTGTTTGTGAAAGGCTACAAAAAGAATATAATTGCGAAATTATTACTACACCACCAAGCATTAATTACCAAGTAATTTTCTCGAATGGTGAAACCTTGGAAACTAATAATCCACAAAAAATACCAGCCAAAGAAAAAATAAAGGCCATCAAAGAGTTATTTATTTCCTTAAATATCGCTACTCCGGAGGCACACTTAGGAGCCATTTCCCAATTATGTCAAAATAAACGGGGTATTTATCAGTCTCAAGAATGAAAAACTGGTTCGCTTTATCAATTAACTTATCATTTACCTTTTGCCGAATTTATTCTTGATTTTCATGACAAAATAAAGTCTATTTCCCATGGTTATGCTTCTTTTGATTATCAGATAATTGGTTTTCATCCCAGTGATATTGTCAAAATAGACATTCTATTGAATAATCAATTAATTCCTGATTTGTCTTTTTTGGTTCATCGCAGTTTTGCTTACGAACGAGCCAAAGTAGTATGTGAAGGATTGAAAGCAACCCTTAACCAGCAAACTTTCACAATTCCGATTCAGGCTACTATTGGTAATCAAATAATTGCACGGGAAACTTTACCAGCCCTCAAAAAGCACGTTACTGGTAATATGTATGGTGGTGATAGAACCCGAAAAATGAAACTCTGAGCCAAACAAAAAAAAGGCAAAGCCCGCATGAAAGAGATGGGAAAAGTGAGCTTTGGTGCTGGTAGTTTGAGAGAACTTTTGAAAAATAATAAAAACAATTAGTAAATTGTAGTATAATAAATTAATATGACAGGAATTGCAAAAAAAAAAAAAAAAACATTAATCAGCAAAAGAAATGAGTTGTTGCGGTAGGACAGAAGCAATTAATTTATAATAATAAGTAAGCATTATGACATTTGCCAATACATCACATATTAATTTAGAAATCTTGCTGAATTCTGTTGCGAAGGCACAAGAGCTTATTAGGAATTTTGCTAACGAACACAAAAAAAACCAAAGTTCTTTTACTCCAGAAATCATAAAACGACTTGCTTCAACAAACGTAAGGCAACAATATTTTGGTTTAAGAGACCTTTATCAACGATTAATTATTCCTGAACTGGAAAAAGAAATCAGAAGAGAAGCAGAAGAGGAAACTAAAAAGAAGTGAAAAAAGGCAGGAAAAGATTATACTAAATTTCAAAGCAATTTTTCATTGGAAGTCAATTTACTCTTTGGGGAGAAAAAGAAAAAATATCTATCAATAAATTCAAAGCACAAAAGAAGAAACGATGAATACACAAGGTTAAGCAGTGCTGACAAGATATTAGTAGTATTCATAAGGGATAAATAAAGTTAACTTACTATATTATTAATTTTAAAAGCAAGGAGTTTA